ATTCCATATACAGGGTATATGGAATACTGTATATATCTTGGTAGGTATCAACTTTATAAAAAAACATTTTATACAAAAGTTGTTTAATATTTTATTTGCCATAATAAGACAGCATTCAATTGTTTTTATTTCAGAAAACAAATGAGCAACGAATAACACTTGAAGTTTTTTAAATGGCAATGTACCCTTTCGTTAGGCTCATTTGATAGAGATTTTTTTTCTCTTTACGATGACGTAAAATTTTAGTACCCTTATATCAGAAAATTTTTGAAACAAATGTAATAATTGTTTATTAAGAAAATTTAACTAATAACATTAATCTAGATATCCGAGTCGTCAAGTACCTCGAATTATTGGAGATGTACACTAATTTTTCGTTTATTTGTTTTATTTTGTATGTAAATTTAATTTACAGTAATAATTCGAGGTACTTGACGATCTCGGATATCTAGATTAATGTTATTGATTAATTTTTATTAATAAACAATTTTTCCATTTTTCTCAAAAATTTTCTGATGTAAGGATACAAAAATTTTACGCCATCGTAAAGAGAAAAATAATCTCTATCAAATGAGCCTAAAGAAAGAATACATTGCTATTTAAAAAAATTTAAGTATTATTCTTTACTCATTTGTTTTCTTAATTAAAAACAATTGACTGCAGTCTTATTATGGCAAATAAAATATTAAACAAGTTTTGTATAAAATGTGTTTCTATAAAGTTGATACCTACAAATATATATACTATATTCCATACATAATGGGCACCCTGTATATAAAACAAATACAGGTCATCCACGACGACCGTCCATTAGAACTTTACAGGGTTCTGGCCAATAAAAAATTTGAAAATTCAGATTTAAGTATTATTAATTGCGTTCTCTTCGACTAAAATGTTTTCAGATTTCTAGCACTTCCGGTTATACAGAAAGTCGCCACCTACTTTATTTTTTTAAATAGAACACCCTATATATTTTTACATATTTGGATTTGTCTGTTTTCAAGGTTTACGAATAACTTTACTTTTTGCAATTTGATTCTTCCGTTCTCGAGTTATTCGAATTTTTCTAGAAAAATCTGCTCCAGCAGATATTTGTTAAAAAAATCAGAGAACACTCGATTTTTGGGATATCAATTTAGGATTCAGAATATGCGTAAGCAACATGATGGAGTATGTTTTGGTGCCGAGTACGGCTGTCTAGATCGTTTGGTCACTTTACTACGGCACGTTAACTTTTCGAAATTTGGAAATACCATAACTTCATTTTTTTAAATGGCACCCCCATATTTTATTACTTAGTCGTCTTCAGTGTCTCATTTTACATCTTTTATATCCCATATGTCCTATACCTAACATTTATAGTTTGGGAGATAATTAGGGTTTTTTGAAAAATGCACATGTGTGTGATATGATATGTATCATATCGATATTTAACCTAGTGTGCCATGAATACCTAGTGTGACCTAAGTAGTGTACAGTGGCGCCGACTTTTTAATATTTAAGGGAGGCGAAACTTTTTCAAATGGTACACTTTATTACAATACAATTATATTGTACAATACAATTGTACACTTTTACAATTTTCCGGTGGGGCTCAAGACCCATGCCGCCGACTACGGGGGGGCTCAAGCCCCGCAGCCCCCCCGTAGTCGGCGCCACTGCTAGTGTATAACCATATGAACTGGCCTTTTGAAAATTTGCAGACGTCTGTGTTTGATGCCAGCTTTTTAGTAAAATATTTTCAGGTTCCGGGAACTTGCGGTTACACCGGAAGAGGTGACAATTTTCATATTTCAAATGGAACACCCTGTATTTCATTACAGGTTATTCACTGTGTGCATTTTTCAATAAACCCTAATTATTTCCCAAACTATAAATGTTAGGTATAGGACACATGGGATATAAAAGATGTAAAATGAGACTCCGAAGACGACTAAGTAATAAAATATAGGGGGTGCCATTTAAAATGAAGTTATGGTACTTCCAAGTTTCGAAAAGTTAACGTGCCATAGTAAAGTGACCGAACGTTCTAGACGGCCATACTCGGCACCAAAACATACTCCACCATGTTGCTTAAGCATGTTCTGAATCCTAAATTGATACACCAAAAATNAGTACTATATTAGAGAGAGAGAACAATATTTATTTGGAATATAAAAATAATAACTATAACAAATACGAATAAATAAAAAAAAGTCATATATAAAGCAAATATAAGATAAGTTCAAAAGGGCTATAGACCTGAGTCTTCCTGCCCGAAGAGTATTGATTTTATTAAAAATAACAAAAATTAAGGGCAAATTTAGTTTAAAGAAGAACAAAGTTTTTATGTTCATAAACATTGCTTTAGAGTCTAGGCCTTTTCCATGGTGATTGTTGTGGGCTTGCTGGAAATTCTTCATCATCAGGATAATCCATGTCTTCGAAGACATGTCTACTTCACCAGCAAATTTCCGCAAGTATTGCACTCGGCGACTGTTTTCCTCTGTATCTGTGATTTGTTTTTTTATTAAAATGAGTTTGAAAAAAAATCTCATAGATATTACCTAATTTCAAATGACATAGCAACTTGATGGTTTCGCCTTGTTCATCAGATTCAGTGGCCAATTGTCTGCTGAAGTAGTCCAGATGATGATATAAATAGTGAATTTTCAAGGACATGTGGACGCTAATTTTCGAGAACGATGTTAATTAACATCCTTGCGACAGAAATATCGTAGTTGCTAGAACGATGCTTTCCCAACAAGCCTTGTATTACTTTTTTAATTGCGTTCCAAGCATCCAATTCAGCCTCAATCAAAATATTGTTGAATGCGTTCATTTTAATAAGCTTTCGCGTATATCTGGACCATTTAGTACGCCTGATGGAAAAAATTAATTTATTGCGGTAGAAAATCATGAGAAGTATGTTTGGAAAAGTTGGAATTTTCCACGAAATTGAACAAATGAATGTTATTATAACTACCTTCTTTAATTTTACTTTCGCTGAGTCTCGGGCAAATTAATTTCAAACACAAGAAAACTGTATCTCGTTTGGCGACAGTTTTGATGAAATTATTAACAATTCCAAGTTTAATGTGCAGTGGAGGCAGCAACAATATGTTTCCATTCGTGGCATGCATATTGGTCTTCGGTAAATCTTGTGTCCCAATCGCACAAAAAGCACATACATTTTATATAGCCGCTTCGAAGACCGCAAGGCAATGCTACAACTTTTAAATCGCAGCATATGCGCCACATAATATATGTTTAGCGTAGTTAACCATTTTTAAAAGATGTTGTAGTGCATCATATGTTTCTTTCGTTTCTCTACTATATGCGATTGGAACCGAAGGTTTTTCATTGGTCTTATGCAGCAAAACCGCTTTTAAGCTGAGTTTTGAACTGTCAATAAATCTGCTTCATATTTTATTTCCATTGTGTCCATCAATTTTCCTACATCCGAGCAATATGCAGAAGTTTTTTCATCATTCACAACAAATAAACTT